CCCCCCCCCCCCCCCCCCCTCAGACGAAGTGCTTGCAACGGCACTGAGTATACATCTTTTGAGAACAGGCGAGGGGTTATTGCATGCATGTATTTCTAGTAAGTAATAAATAACATCTCTTCCTTTTACGAATTTTCGAGTCCTGTGTGGGTTGTGTGATATAATAACACGAAATCAGTTCAACTTCAGAGACGATTTCTCCGGAAATGTGCAAGCCTTCGAAGTGTCTCCGCACATTATCATTGCATGAAGAAAGCCGAAATATCTCACTCAGTCCTCGACAGTCACTACATTGTTTTGGATCCTCCTTTCTTAAAACAACAATTGCCAGACATGGTTAAAGAGAATATTAAGAAAAAGCATGCCAAAAAGCGAAAGCGCCGTGTTATTTACATTGAATCAGTTATAGAAACAGTTACGAAACATTGAAATCGACAACTTTTAATTAAGATATATCAGCGAAATACATATTATAAACAAAAGCCAAAACTACAAATATATTTCAATTACAAACTATTTTTCAATAATGGTGACGCAATTGGTCTAAAATACTTTTTATTTAATAAATAGTGGAAGGAAAAGTTATAAAACGCCTTCTTTGAACACAAACAATTATTGATTTGCTGCGTGTTTTAATTTACTTTAGAGCTTTTAATTAATGACAGGTGATCACCGAGCGGAGATGTATTGCCGCCTAATCGTGTTTGTATGGAATAATATCCATCTCCTGTTTACAAAATTTTGTCACACAAAGTCAAATTTTAACTAAACGGACTAGCATTGTTCTCCAATAAACCTAAGACGAGCATTAACAAGAAATATAGTGGCTAGGAGACCATCTCATAAATGTTAGCTCGCTTATGCATAGGGGAGGATTTGCCTCATAAAGACCCTTTGTCGCGGGAAAAGAGTTTGACCAAAACTTTCCTCATTTGATCTGAATGACTTAGTTATTCATCTACATATTTTAATAGAATTTAAATTTCAGAAGCAATCCACTTTTTTACGACGCCTTGCAGAACCCATTAGATTTTCGATCATGAATGGCATATTACTGCCTCTCAAATCGCCCGTTCCAGATAGATATTTGGCTTATTATTACTTTCGTGAAAAGAACATACGTTATTCCATATAAAAACACGGATTCATTATCTGTAGTCCCTCGCACGACTTCGGCGCACAGTTAGAAATATTGCAAATATTGCACGTGTCTAATAAATTTTAGGACAAACAATAAAATAAGACAATTTTCAAGAAATGACTGTTTGAACAAAAATCAAGATACATCAAGGAAGTTATAGATGTATTATGAAGCCAAACGAAAATTGAGTCAGAATTCGCTGGACCGTTCTTGCAGACAATGCCTCTTAAATTTGCCAAGCACTTATTCTCCTTCAAACTGCGTGTTTTGCTTAATTAACAAGGGGAAACTTTGTTCTCAACCAATCAGCGCATTTGTTGACAATTTCACTCTAAACCAATCAGAATGCATAATTGGTTATTGTAGGTAGTGTTTGCCTGCGAGCACGGAATTCACACTTCCGGTAAAAACGTACATTTGAACAGAAAATATAGGGTCAGAAATAAAGCTTCAATGCATACCTCATTTTAAGAATTTTTTATCACTGCACTTTTTTGCTATCATGATCAAGTACGCTTAGCAGATACCCATGGTTGGTATATCGGAGTGTTGGTTCTGAAGAGAAGCGAAAAACAGTGTAATTTTTTTTTATTTATCCAACCTCAACATTGGACAAAATAACGTTTACCCAACCCATGAGTACTGTACTTAATAAACACACAAGATTATGGTGACAAAAATCAAGTTGCCTAAATTTTAAAAGCTCACTCACACTCAAACTGACTGAGTGTGCCAAAGCAATCACGTTCCTGCTGATCAATGATAGAGTTCTTCCTCAATCACTTATGGTCTATTTTGGTACAGAATGTATTGTACAAATTTTGTTTACGACTTCAAATGCATTGTAATTGTGGTTTTGTTTTATAACTGACAGATAGCGATAATTTATTTTACCCAATACATGAGCATGTCAAAAACTTAATTGATTACCCAACACATATCTTTTTGGTGCCAACCCCGGGTATAAATAATGAATGGTTCCTTATAGTAATAATGTGAGTGTTGGTTTTGGCATTTCTGAATATCAATTTGTGGTTAAAAATTGATATTCACAAATGTCGAAACCAACATACACTGCGGGTCGCCCAGGGAAATTGGGGGGGGGGGGCAAAATTTCCTCGATCGTGATTCCATCTTCTGACACTATGATTAGGGGCGTTCGGGGGCATTTTCCTGGGGAATATTTTGAAATTTGAGGTACAAGAAATGGCCAAATCCTGCAGTCTGGAAGTCTAGTTGACAGTTATATCTATGTATATTTGACTGTAATTCTCTATTTGGGCCTTCCTTTAACTGGAGTCCCAGGGCGAAAAGCTCCCTCCACCCCACTGGGCAGCCTTGAGGCCTTGACGGCACCTGCAGTTACGCGACTATATTTATTACAGCATTATTTCATAATTACATGCGGCCTGCAGGAAAGAAATATTTTCTTTCTCATTCTATTTGGAAAATGAAAGGCGGCTTAGGCGTGGCAAACCTTTCGATGATTTCTAGCAGCATGCTCCTACAGAAAATGTTGTAATCTAGCCTCTCTGAAAGCGCATTTCCTGCAATGTGCAGAAATATTCCATAGAATTCTGAAGATTATACACTAATTACAAAAGGTCAAGTTATCATTCACTCCATCTTGCAACGGACGTTCGATAATTTGACAGTTATGATTTCAATATTTCATTCAAATCATTGTCATTCAAATGTTTTGATTAGAAGTGTCAAGACGAAATTTTAGTTCATTTTTCTGCTCATTGCCTCATTTTTTTGTTACTGAACAAATAATCATAGCAAATTTTATCACTGCCAATTTTACATTTTATCACTGCACATTTTACTTTGATCACTGCACAAATTGGTTATCACTGCACACTAAAATTAGGTATGCTTCAATGTGGTCAGAATTTTTATTAATTTATTTGATTGGAGTCATCACGACAAGGTACAATAAGAAATTTTCTAAAAATTGGCCTCCGGGATTTGCGTTTTATTGCCTAGCGCTAAAATAATCGGCAATCGAACTTACGCGCTTTTTATACGCTGCTTTTTTGAATGACGATAACTTTAAAACTAGGCAATGAAACGTTCATCCCAACGGCAATATTTTAGAAAATTTCTTGTTTGATTCTCTCACGTTAAATCCATTCAAAACAATTAAAAATCCTGACCACCTCGAAATTTTACTTAAAACCCTATAGTTTCTGTTCAAATGTGTGTTTTTACCCGAAGTAGTAACCAATTACGCATTCTGATTAGCTTAGGGCGAAATTGTCAAGAAATGCTATGATTAGTCCAGAACGAAATTCCCCCTTGTTGTTTCGTTTAGTGTACCAATAGTTACGTAACTGTGTAAAGGATGTTAAATGGTGTTATAAATTTATTACAGACAAGTGCCCGTTTTATGAAGTATCAGAGGAATACAAGAGGGAGATCACTAAATACTATTCAGCTGATTTTCCTGGCAGTAACAGTTGCGAGATATACCTCAAAGCGAAGAACAAAACAAAGGTGATTCACGTCAGATTTTCAGAATTATTTTTATCTTCTGGAGATTTCGTTACCGTTTATGACCCATCGAACTACAAGGACATCTTGCGTTACCATGGTGAAAAAAATCCAGTCGCATCTGTGACGTCGAACAATGATTCCGTTCGCATTATTTTTACCTTGTCAAATTTCAGAAGCCGATTTGCGCTTTTCCACAAAGCCATATCAGCAGGTAAAGATATCTTCATTCTCCTGATAACGGTGAAACGCCTCGACATGGTATGCCATGTTTTGTCTTGCCCTGCCTTTCCATATATGCCTTTCCTTCCCTTTCTTTTCCCTTCCTTTCCTTTCCTTTCCTTTCCTTTCCTTTCCTTTCCTTTCTTTTCTTTTCCTTTCATTTCCTTTCCTTTTCTTTCCCTTCCCTTCCTTTCCTTTCCTTTCCTTTCTTTTATTTTCCTTTCCTTTCCTTTCTTTTCTTGTCCTTTCCTTTCCAATCCTTTCCTTTCCCTTCCATTTCCTTCCCTTCCTTTCCTTTTCTTTCCTTTCTTTTCCTTTCCTTTTCTTTTCTTGCTTTGCCTCGCCTCGCCTTGCTTTGCCTTGCCCATCAGACAATCCTGTACAGAATTTGTTTGAATCCTTTTGCGCGCACACTTTAAAATGTCGGACAATGAAAACATTTTGAAATGTGAAGTTTACACAATAGACAGATTTAAATCGAGAACGCTGATGTCAAAGACGACGTGAAATTTTCTTGTTGTGCCCATGTATGGTTATGCGACGCAATTTTGACGCCATTTCCACGTCGTCTTTAACGTCCACGTCCTCGATCTATATCTGTCTAATATATTAAACGAGACGCAAGGTAACACAAAGAGCGAACGAAGGTTTGCACTGACTACAAAAAATGAAGTTGACTGTTTGATCTCAGTTGCCCAAGCACACAGCAAAAAAACTAAAACAATTTCAAGGCGCTTTCAGCATTTTTAAAGGTCAACAGTAGTTTTAATTATTCAATAGCATTTTTAATTCGCGAAAAAATAGCAAATTAAAAAAATATTTATGAAAAAATTGATATCAGCAAAATTATTAATAGTACAACGACAATAGCAACTTTCGCTTTGCAAAAGTTCATTCCGGCCATTCAGATCAACACTCGTCCAAACTTTGGCTGTCTGTTTAGCAGCTGTTCCCAGTGCCGTAGCAAGCTCGATAATTTGGGAGGGGCTCATATTCATATATTCGTGTTCACAGACCATAAAAACAATCGATTTCAAAATAAATTAATAACGCAGAATACGAATATATGAATATACGCCCCCCCCCCACCCATTATCGAGCTTGCTGCGGCACTCGTTCTATCGGAAACGTCAATGTTCAATATGCAGCAGTGAACTACAACTGTTATTTTATTAAATTACTATGATACATGCATGCAGCAACCCTTCACCTTTATAACAGATGAAGTATAAAAACTCCATATATAGTATTAAGACCATGATTATAAACAAACATAAAAACGTAACTGATCCGATGGCTTAATGAACGATACCGACATCCGCTGCACTTCCATGTACACCACTTTCATTACAGCACAATATTAATTGTGAGTTATCCAGTGAAGAATGGCTTAAAAATTTCGGAGATATGCATAAAATCGACAACACAAAGAAAGTACGGAATGGAATTTTACTGCTAAAATGTTTACACTTACCAAACCGGCACAAGAACGATTAAATTATTAAATACATCAACATCAAAACATCAAAAGTAAAAACAATTATTAAAAATTTTGTTTCACGGTAGAACAGCCATTAATTCATGAACTGCAGGCTTATTTCCAGTTAAAATAAAAAATAAAAACAGATTTGTTCTAGCTATGGTAAACGCCTGGTACAGTGCGGAGCGCCGTTGACTCGGAGATAAAATATTTAATCGTTGTACAGGTATAGTATCGCTATTTATTTTTTTATTTGTGCATGCCAAGTGATATTTTTTGAATTCCTGCAATCTGATTGGCTGTAGCAGCGGGCAGCTTTTTACGGTATCTTGACCGTGGTCCAAAAGAGTTAGCTATATTTTAGCGACAAACCGAGGAGTGAAGACAATTTTCAAAATTAAAACACTACACAAAAAGTTTAAAAATCCACCTTATCGATACTAAAGTGAATTGGCTCCAGTAGACTTCAGTAGCCAAATCCGAAATGTACTTTATTCCGACCAAACTGCGAAAAAAACCCAAATATAAACATCGAAAAACACTGGCCAGAACTATGTTTTGATTCAGACGTTCCACATATATTCAACTGTTCTAAGAAAATAGACGTATATAAATATAAATGGTACAAAGTACATCTCGTCTTTAATTAAAGAAAAAAAAAAAAAAAAAAAAAATAACTTAAATGGCAGTTTAAAGACGATTCCTGCTTTTATTTTGGTCAAAATTGTTTTCATAAACGTTGTATGAACAAATTGTTTTTCTGCCAAAATGCATTTTTCAAGCATGTCCATTCTGTAAAACGAATCGGAAAATAAATATTTTTACTTAGTTTACTTTCCTTTTACTTTTTGCATGAGTAGAAAAGCATTTATTCCAATGAAACTAAAACGTTTTTATCCAGCTTTTATCGCGTCGTTTTAGCAATTTGTCAACCATGCTTGCACTATGCCACTAAAGTAGTAAACGCAACTGATTTCAAATGTATTTCGCAACTGGAATTTTATCGGAATGTCTTTATAACCATGAACTATCAAATAAAAAATAAACACGCTATTTACCCTTTAGATCGGTCCGTACTAAAAAGTATTTTCCCTCGGCCTCGGAAGTGTCCCTAGGCCTTCGCTCTCGAGCCGCTTCTGAGACCTCATGAAAATATTTTTTTAATACGGACCTCGCAGCCGGTAAATTATATAAAGAGAATTGCCATTCAAGAAAAAAATTAAAAATATATACGGCCGAGAACTGCCGTTGGATTATTTTATATTTTTATTTATTACATTATGCCCATGCATGGCCGAAAACCGCGATAGTATACCAGAATTCTTTGAGGTCGCTCTTTCAGACTTCAACGTGGCTGCCCACGCAAGGAAGAAGTTTGAAAAACAAATAAAGGAGAAACGAAACAAAAACAAAGCGAAGGCAGAGAAGGGATCCAACATCGGGCGCATTGTTGAACGAGAAGAACTGACCGTGCAAAGACTAAGTGCAGAGGCAACGGGGAAAGCCCAAAAATTTTCCCGACTTGCGCCGATGGAATACGTATCGTTTTGCAGGCTACGATGAAGTGACGCTTCAAAACATAAAGTTGGCATGTGAAAAACACATTTTGGCCATGGTTGTTAAAGGTGTCGCGCGCGATATGTTAGCTGGGGAACAAGAGCCTTCTTGTTTCACCCTTGAGCAAATACCCGATCTGAAATTGATTCATATACGGTTTATTCATCGTTCTGAGCACGACGAACAGGGTCACGCAGCAATGAGTGTCTCCAGTGATCGTGATGATTCATAACGAAAAAAGCCACTACGATCGTTGAGTTGAAATCACTTGACACGGAAGGGATACGATGGTCATCGAACACTATTCCAGTTGATCGAATTTGTTCTTGAAAATGAATCGTTTGGAGAAGGAGGATTTCGCCAGGCTTTTTATGGTAACAACCATAACTCAAGCCATTAAGGTGGCTTTATAAACTGTTTATGATACATATAGAGTTACATGATAATTGATAATCAAGGGGTAATGAATGTGTCTCCACGCCACATTCATTAGCCCTTGATTATCAAGTGCGCCTATTCTGATTCTGTCTGTGATCTTGGCTAAAGGGCCACTGCCCATCGCACAGGGCTTATATAAACAGAACCTTAGATAGTATTTAAATTAAGGCTACAAGGCTGAATAAGAATAGGGTGTTTTCATGTGATGTCATTGTGGCCACATCGGTGTCTTACTTGAAGTTTCTTCAAAAAACCGACATTCAACAAAGCAAATAATGAATGTATTTCTTTTGTTTAAAAGAACTTGGAGACCAGAAATTGGAATAATAAACAGTAGATGAAAACACCCTTGTTTTTTGACAGATTTCCCTTTTTTGTCTAAGGATATTTTTGCCCGCCCCCATGCACCCCTCTTTCCGGCATCTCTGTGCTTATAGATTTTTGGTGACCCCTCCCTCAATTCGGCAAAGCCCGTAAAAATGAACGGAATGATATAAAATCTTTAATTGTACAGGACAGAAAGTCGTACCAAAGGTTTTGATAATGAAACATAGGTGGTAAAAAGGTATTTACATCGGGCATTGAAGACTATAGAAGAACTGGGGCCTAACACCAGGTGCTCACACGACGAAAGTTGTGCAGATGCACATGTTGGCAAAAACTTTGCCGACCAGCTTGCCAAAAAGTACACCAAGATGGTATTGTATTGGAAAACCGCAGCAACATGACAAGGTCTATTTTGGATGGAACTTGACAGTGAAAACTACATAACCGTTGAGAAATGTATTTCAGGCGAGTTCATGAAACAAATCAATAACACAGGCTCCACCTGTGTTGACGCTGCAGCCAGTGAATAGATTCTGAAAGCTGAATATTTTGTTCGCCGCTACAGCTATTAAAAATTATCCCACAAATTAATGGTTTTGGATATACAGGGCACTATCCACATGTTATACGATGTTTCTGAAACAGTTATTATTACATACAGCACGTGCAGTATGTGCATTGTAAATTAAAATCAAGGGACTTCATATAAATTTCAGTTATTACAGTTCACTGTACATCAATTGTTTTGAAAGTTGTAGAAAAACAAAGGCTGATAGTCATTTCCTATCATTATTCAAGTGCTTTGTTAGCCAGTAACATCAAAATATCTTATATGAACTTTAAAACTAATGAAAATACCATTAATATTTTTAAATTATAGGTTTGTCAGTCATTAATTTTGATATATTTGTAGCAACAATTTACTAACTGGTTGATAGTTCTGGTTGATGTCAATTATCGTCTCTTTAACCAACAACCTTGTACCCAGGGCTTCTGCGATTTATATTGATCTCAGAAGAGGAATAAGCACACATCCTGGGTACGAGGTTTTTTAACCCATTGAGTGGAGGCACTCTTGCTCTCACAAGTAAAATTGCATGACGTTAGACAGAGTAAAATAATAAAGTGGGGCGAATCCGGGCGAAATTACCACTTAAAAGGTTCACGTGCATCCTACTTTATTATTGAAAGTTGAAAGTTTATGTATGTGATACACATATAAATTAAGCAACAATACACCCAAATGTGCCCCGGTTGTTCAAAGGTAGCTAGGTTGGTGCTAACCCTCCGTTAAAATTTAACCTGCATGTTTGTTCATTTTAAAAGTTCAGGGAAGGACAATCCTATCGACCCAGACAAGATTTCTTAAGAAACATTTCCAAATTTACAGACAAGCTTTTAGGAAGTTTGCTTTGATGTTTTAGGCTTTCAAACGACCGGTCCCAGACGATTTACTCGTCAAGGGGAGAGTCTTGCACTCTAATGGGTTAAACATATTCAAGAAAGTTTTGAGTGCCAAAAATAGAATATTTGACCGGGGCCCCAAATTCCTCTGGACAGGCCTGCCAGTTTTAAACGATAAACCATACAACTGGGTATCTAAATGGGTGGCAGTCAATGCAAATGTAATGCACTATTACATTTTGCCTGACAAATCGCGTAAAGGCAAAGCGTCCCATAATTCATAAGAACACATTCAACAATACAATAAAGTGTTTCTTTAAGCCATTGAATGGCAGCACTCTCCACTTGACGAGTAAAATCGTATGGCGTTAGACAGAGCAAAATATTAAAGTGGGGCGCATCAGGGTTCATCGCCACCTGCGGGATTAACGCAGCCATCTAGCCTTGTGGTGTAGTTCAGGTTTCCAAAAATTTCGCTTTGAGGTACAGAAATGCCTCCTTATAGTCGTTTGGTTCAACCTTATCAGGGTGAGGAGCAATTTCTTCACATATGCTCTGAAATCAACATCTAAAAAGTCATCTTCTATGTGAGAGCACCAGAGATTTCTGCAACCTCTTTCAATTGGTTTTCTGTTACTGGCAAACCTAAAAGTTATTTTTACATGACAAGTGAGGTTGAGCGGCTATATATTTTAAATCGTAAGCATAAAAAAATTACCGTAAGTTGACTACAATCTTCCAGACCATATTTTGTGGAAACCTATATATATATATATATATATATATATATATATATATATATATATATATATATATATATATATATATATATATATATATATATATATATATATATATATATATATATATATATATATATATATATATATATATATATATATATATATATATATATATATATATATATAATTGGGAATGCCATCAGGTAAAACTGTATCTTTCTGCATTCCTATTCTGTGACTATTCCAAATAACTGTCCTGAATGTACGGTTTAAAAGTTTCGACTGATTAGTAATATTTTAATAAAATCGAATTAAAAAAATAAAAAGGATTAAAATTAACCGAGCTTTCGGACTAAACGTCCATCATAAGGGTAAAATGTGAATAACATATATCTACGAGCAATATTTATGCTGAGTTCCAACCGCCTACGTGGCAAATAGTCGTGTCAAATTGTACTAATTAAGATTCTAGTTATACTAATTGATAAGGAGCTATTGTGTACAAAAGAGATTAGGAACTAATCAACTGTGCTTATTTGAATAATGTTAATATAATACAACTAAAGTCACTGTTCATAAGTGATTATTCAAAATTTTTTAATCTTTATTTGGTTAGAAGATATTTCAGTTTGTTTAATATGTAAATAAGATGACGTCACAAGGTGGGTACACTTTTTGACAGTCCACAGGACTATTAAAACTTCATATTTTTGTAAGCCAGATTAGTCAATGCAATCATTGATGTAAACTTAAATTATTTGATTTATTTTGAACGATGAGTTTTGTGACTCACGCGTGTCAGCCATATTTGAAAATATTTTTACCAGCTTGTGACATCATAAATTTGTTTCATTTGCATATTAAGCGATCTAAAATATCTCAAGAACGATAAAGTTAAGATGTGAAGTGATTTATTTTACAGGTTTACAAGTTCTTTCTGCATAAACAAACTTAAATTTTATTGCCCATACCCTTTAAGGTATTACTTGTTTCTAGGAGGCTTTTAAGGGAGTGGGGGGCTTATTATAGGCTATGTATTTGTGAAATATTGGTATATAAATTAATATGGATATCATAACATGATCAAAACAAATACAATTGTATTAATGAGGATGGGGTTTGCTTATTTGAGTGGGGGAGTAATTAGAGAGATTATGGTAACCTAACTGTTTATTAACCCATTAAACTGCAGAGCTTGCCCATTGACAAGTAAAATCTTCTGGCGTTAGACAAGTAAAACAAAGAAGTGAGGTGCACTAGGGCTCAATGTGTTAATTAAGTCACATATTACCTGATTTGATGTTGATGGCCCATAAACGACTGTATCTAATGGATCATCTAATTCGGCATGAGTGCTTCGAATGTAGGAGTGAATAGTTGCCATAACACCAGTTACAGTCCCACCATCCAATCGCAGCATTGCAGAATTTTTTCTGGTCGCATAACTGTATTCTAAATACCAACGTCCAATAATCTTTGGATCACTGTTACTCACCCAAATACGAAGCCATAAAACTTCCTGCTCGCTGTATCCATACAACCATAGATAGCCAAGGGGTAGGTGCTATTTTGGTACCCCATTAATTTATCATGACCATCCAGGGATTGCACCTGGTGTAGATTGAATTGATTTACCTGGTGTAAATGCAGAAACCCTCGCCTTGATACATACCCAGTTAGGTCATTTGCTTGCAAAGTTCCCTTTTGCTTTCGTGTTCTTTTTACCAACTATGCCACGCTCTTCTAGACTCACTGGGTCGACGTCAAACATAACTGCGTGAACTAAGTCCCAGGGTACATTAAGGTTGTGTTATTGGCGCACATTTTTTACACAGCTCTGTGGCTTAATAGTCTTCCAGCGCCATCAAGTTCTTTCTGAACTGCATTTCGAACTTTGTCTACCTATAAGTCTCGTTTTAATTAAAAAGTCTAAAATCTCTTCCCGCCCTAGACCATGGCGGATGTGTTTGGCCATTTCTTCCTTCAGTGAACTATCTTCTTTCCAAGAATCATTACAAAAGTATTCAGCCATGTTGAAGTCTGAAAGAGCTACCTCAAAGCATTCTGGTATACTATTGCAGTTCTCGACCATGCATGGGCATAATGTGATAAATAATAATATAACAAAATCCAACGACAGTCACTCGGCCGTATATATTTAAACATTTTTTTCATGAATGGCAATTCTAGGCCATAATGTGATATAATTTTAGAATGAAATTAATTTAAGAAAGAAATGTCTTTTATTTTTTTTATATATTTTTTTATTTTAGTTTATTCTAATTATCTTTTCATGAAGTTAAATGTAAAACAAAGAAAT